CACACACACACACGCACGCACGCACGCACGCACGCACGCACGCACGCGCACACACACACACACACACACACACAGACATACTGGATGAGAAATCTACGAGAAGATTCTCCTCCAGAAGGCAGCCACTCTCCTCAGCGCCTTCCTCAGAGGATGAACCTCTCGGTCCTCCATGAAGCTGTCGTCATCCTCGTCCTCGTAGACCCAGTAGTCACTGTCGTCATCACTAGGGGCAGGATAATGGTCGACGTAGGTGATGGTGACTGGGGCGGGGAGCGTCTCACCGTGGTCAGGGCGGGCCCAGAAGGGGGTGAAAACACTCAGAGGGTTGGGAAAGGGGGTCGGGGACGCAGCCTGGGGATGCTACATCAGTGAGTGGGGAGGGAGGGAGAAAGGAGGGTCAGTGGGCGAGGTATATAGGCGGTTTTCAAATAACAATGTGCAAAAGAAAGTCAGTGTGACACACAGGTTACACATGCAATAAGGTGCTACAACAAGACAGAAATTCTGATCGACTGTTTGAATCATGCAATTAGAGGAGGGGGATCATGCAGTTATTTTTCAGGACACAATAACACACAGAGAAAATGGGCAATGTCAATAGTGTGCGTGGGGGACATCGACAAAAGCACTTAAGTGATCTATTCGGCGGCCAAATCCGAAACAGATGTAGATAAACTACATACACAGTCGGATTCCTCATCCAGCGACGGCCATAAACTCGCAGCAGGAGTGACATGATACCGGATCATGTCTTCCCGTGCTGAAAAGAAAAATAAACAAATTCAATAATACATTAAAATACATGTTCAATGAATATATCGAGTTAAGGAGTTCGAGTTAACGAGGTTACACTGTACAACTTTGATAAAAGACATCGCCCAGCCTCTAGTCAACAAATATAGATCTAGATATTTTGCAACACATCTCTACAAAAACTTGTACAGCTCTTATTTACTCTTCAGAACCTGAATGGATTGACGGACAGACAGACAGACAGACAGACAGGTGGATTAGGAGTTGAGAGTACTATCGAGACTATGAGCATTTCATCATTGTGTTCATGTGTTTTAGTCATGTCATTTCAAGCCCGTTCGTTTGAAAGTGTAGTTTACGTTTAAATAGATATCAAAGTTATACAATGTCACACATTTGATCTATAATGTTTGAACAACATCGTCCGTCATATTTATATCCGGCCCGCTCTCATTTCAGAGCAGACAAGAGATTTAGAAGACACCCATTTCTGTATCAAAACAATTGCAAATGGCGGCCAGTGTCATCACTATCGGTACTGCTGTCAAACTACGGCCAATTTCAGTACTTATCGACGTTCTAAACACTTTAAAATACAATAATTGCATTCTTAAATACCTTGAATATGCAGCCTTGTAAACATCTTGTCAGTAGAAGATCTTGAAACGATGCTGTAGTCAACGAAATGCAGAGCGATATGGAGCAAGAGCGATAGTGAATCTGTTCAAAACAGAGGGGACGTTGGCCACGACAACGGTAACCACGTTACGGAGACGAAGTCAGAACGAGGCGTCATCGTCCATTTCTGGCAAAGCTGAATCTGTACGGCTGCATGTCGTGGGGGCCAAAGACTTAAACATGTTAAAAAGGGGAAGCAGATAAAGTTGTGGTGGCCGTTGCCGTGGTTACCGTCGTTGATAAAAAGAAGGGCAGGTTCAGTTTGTTTTGTCCCTGAGCATTCTCTAGATTAATTATGAAAATGTTTGCTGGTAAAGACCGTTCGTCTTACTGGGGACTGTTTGCTGGTGTGTGTAAGGCACGATGTGTGTTGTTGGCGGGTCGTCCGCACTTTATTGCCGCGGAACGACAGGCTGCGCAAGTCGCCTTGGAAATCCCAAGCTAGCATCGCCACTGATACACTCAAAGAAATAGTCTGACATGGGTGGTCTCCCTTTGTTCAATGGTAGAAATGAAGCCCATTCCCCTCACATACACGGAAGATAAAAGCCGTCTTGGCTGTTTGTTCAATCAGTGTGTTTCTTTGTTTATTGTTTACATGATGTGAGTAAGAAATTAACGCCGGCCCCACAGCATAACCCAAGCTATATATCAGAACAGAACAAAATTTTAATTCTAAAAAATCACACAGTGACACATGCAGAGAACATACATCATTGCATCATACACACACATATAATATGTACAAGACAGCAAGCATATACATCCCAGCTCCTCCACGTGTCAAGGCGACCGTGAAGATTCGGGTTAGAATAGGTATTCAGCATCCCATGCTTGCCGTAAAAGGCGACTATGCTTGTCGTAAGAGCTAGTCGACTAATGGGATCGGGTGGTCAGGCTCGCTGATTTGATTGATGCATGTCATCGTATCCCAATTGCGTAGATCGATGCTCCATGATGCCAATCACTGGATTGTCTGGTTCAGACTCGATTGTTTACAGACCGCTGTCATAAAGCTGGAATATTGCTGAGTGCGGCGTTAAACAACAAACAAACAAACAAACAATGTGTATCTTGTCAGTGTGGGTGGAGAAATGAACACTTAGATGAATGTACTTGTGCATCGGTATGAAGGTAGCCGTTCATGTTGCAGTAATGATTATTTATTAGTATCGTACTTTGCATAGATGTTGTTGTTTGTTATTTGTTGTTCAACACCGCACTCAGCAGCATTCGCCTCTTACGACAAGCATATTCGCCTCTTACGGCAAGCATGGTTGCTGAAGGCCTATTGCAGCCCGGATCTTCACGGGTCTCGCATATAGATGACATAAGGGGGCGAGGATGTAACTGAGTGGCTAAGGCGTTGGCTCATCGCGCCTAAGGCCCAGGTTCCATTCCAGGTATAAACGCTTATCTTAAAGTCCATTCCTACAAGGTGTCCTTCACCGTCATATGGGTTCCATGCGATTTTCGAGTTCAAACATTTAAAGGGCGACTATCCCCGGGCAGATTGGCTGCTTTGGTAAGTTTGGTTCAGGTCGTTCAAACACAACTCTCTTTGTCTGTTGACTCCAATTTCATGATTTATATCAATCTAAGAGTTCACGAGTACTCTGATTGACCCAGGTGTCCATTAGGCATTATTTACAACGTGTAGACCTGAACTGAAACTGGCGCCAGACACAGAAGCGCATTACGTCGCCCTTTAAGTCTTAGTTTTCTAAGAAACTTACGTTTCAATTTTTGTCACCATTTTTATCATGATCATGTGTGCCTAAACTGCTATATTTACTTTCCAACCAGCTACCCATAAACGAAAGGGAATATCTGTAGATATATCTGAAGAATCGATGATAGGAGAAACATCGGCAGACGGCGAAGGGAGATAACTCGATCTTTCAGCCATACATGTACCCACCAGTAAGTGAAAAAGTGATCGTAAAATACCAAGCGTTACTACACCGGCTTCCAAGCTATATAACAGCTATCCATGGGTATGGAGTTCGGACTTTCCATGGGAGATTCCTCTAGTAAATTGGGCTAGAAGACAGCAACACAACGGTTCAGGGCAAATGGCCCCTTAATATATTAACTTGATCATAAATATTCTCGCTATAACAACTTCAAATTATATTAACACCTGACTCGCGTCACCTGCCTTTACTGCTGTGTTGCTGTCACCCAGTCGTTGTTAGATCCAAGGAAGGAAAACAGACTCATGTGTATACCATTAATCCATTTTTATTTAGATATATTTAAGAAATGGAAAATTATGTGTCCAAAAAGGTATTTAAAGCAGGGCCAAAAGTGAGCACAAAAACGGTTCTCCTATATCAGAGAACGGAATCAACTTAGAAATGTCAGTCAAAGGGTGAGCCAAAACAAATGAAAAGAAGATCGAAAGAGTGTGTCCAAACATAAACCCAAAGGGTGTAGCCAAAACAGTCCAACAGGGAGAAATGCTTTATTACAGGGGCACCAAACCACACCCTCTCACACAAACACACATGCAAAACACATCCTCTTATGCATATACTCAAAACACACGCCAGACACATCCCGTCGCACATGAACTCTTAAAATCAAACACACATGCAAAACACATGCCGTCACACATACACACTTACACACAATACTAGATGCAAACACTCCAACTCCCATATACACACATGATTACACTCACCAAAACACACATGTGAAACGAACACTCATACATACACACTTAAACCCAACCACACATTCAAAACACACACTCACACACATCACAAACTTACACTTTCTGTCACACATGCAAAAACACATCCTCTCACACACACACACTGACACTCAACCACATATGCAAAAACACATCCTCTCACACATACACTCTCTATCACACATGCAAAAAAACATCCTAACACACATACACCTACACTATCTGTCACACATGCAAAAAAAATCCCAACACACATACACACCTACACTATCTGTCACACATGCAATACAACATCCTTTCACATTTGCACTCGTACTCACACACACATACACACACGCACGCACGCACGCACGTGCACACACACACGCACGCACACACACACACAGACACACTGGATGAGAAATCTACGAGAAGATTCTCCTCCAGAAGGCAGCCACTCTCCTCAGCGCCTTCCTCAGAGGATGAACCTCTCGGTCCTCCACGAAGCTGTCGTCATCCTCGTCCTCGTAGACCCAGTAGTCACTGTCGTCATCACTAGGGGCAGGATAATGGTCGACGTAGGTGATGGTGACTGGGTCGGGGAGCGTCTCACCGTGGTCAGGGCGGGCCCAGAAGGGGGTGAAAACACTCAGAGGGTTGGGAGAGGGGATCGGGGACGCAGCCCGGGGATGCTACATCAGTGAGTGGGGAGGGAGGGAGAAAGGAGGGTCAGTGGGCGAGGTATATAGGCGGTTTTCAAATAACAATGTGCAAAAGAAAGTCAGTGTGATACACAGGTTACACATGCAATAAGGCGCTACAACAAGACAGAAATTCTGATCGACTGTTTGAATCATGCAATTAGAGGAGGGGGGTCATGCAGTAATTTTTCAGGACACAATAACACACAGAGAAAATGGGCAATGTCAATAGTGTGCGTGGGGGACATCGACAAAAGCACTTAAGTGATCTATTCGGCGGCCAAATCCGAAACAGATGTAGATAAACTACATACACAGTCGGATTCCTCATCCAGCGACGGCCATAAACTCGCAGCAGGAGTGACATGATACCGGATCATGTCTTCCCGTGCTGAAAAGAAAAATAAACAAATTTAATAATACATTAAAATACATGTTCAATGAATATATCGAGTTAAGGAGTTCGAGTTAACGAGGTTACACTGTACAACTTTGATAAAAGACATCGCCCAGCCTCTAGTCAACAAATATAGATCTAGATATTTTGCAACCCATCTCTACAAAAACTTGTACAGCTCTTATTTACTCTTCAGAACCTGAATGGATTGACGGACAGACAGACAGACAGGTGGATTAGGAGTTGAGAGTACTATCGAGACTATGAGCATTTCATCATTGTGTTCATGTGTTTTAGTCATGTCATTTCAAGCCCGTTCGTTTGAAAGTGTAGTTTACGTTTAAATAGATATCAAAGTTATACAATGTCACACATTTGATCTATAATGTTTGAACAACATCGTCCGTCATATTTATATCCGGCCCGCTCTCATTTCAGAGCAGACAAGAGATTTAGAAGACACCCATTTCTGTATCAAAACAATTGCAAATGGCGGCCAGTGTCATCACTATCGGTACTGCTGTCAAACTACGGCCAATTTCAGTACTTATCGACGTTCTAAACACTTTAAAATACAATAATTGCATTCTTAAATACCTTGAATATGCAGCCTTGTAAACATCTTGTCAGTAGAAGATCTTGAAACGATGCTGTAGTCAACGATATGCAGAGCGATATGGAGCAAGAGCGATAGTGAATCTGTTCAAAACAGAGGGGACGTTGGCCACGACAACGGTAACCACGTTACGGAGACGAAGTCAGAACGAGGCGTCATCGTCCATTTCCGGCAAAGCTGAATCTGTACGGCTGCATGTCTTTGGGGCCAAAGACTTAAACATGTTAAAAAGGGGAAGCAGATAAAGTTGTGGTGGCCGTTGCCGTGGTTACCGTCGTTGATAAAAAGAAGGGCAGGTTCAGTTTGTTTTGTCCCTGAGCATTCTCTGGATTAATTATGAAAATGTTTGCTGGTAAAGACCGTTCGTCTTACTGGGGACTGTTTGCTGGTGTGTGTAAGGCACGATGTGTGTTGTTGGCGGGTCGTCCGCACTTTATTGCCGCGGAACGACAGGCTGCGCAAGTCGCCTTGGAAAACCCAAGCTAGCATCGCCACTGATACACTCAAAGAAATAGTCTGACATGGGTGGTCTCCCTTTGTTCAATGGTAAAAATGAAGCCCATTCCCCTCACATACACGGAAGATAAAAGCCGTCTTGGCTGTTTGTTCAATCAGTGTGTTTGTTCGTTTATTTTTTACATGATGTGAGTAAGAAATTAACGCCGGCCCCACAGCATAACCCAAGCTATATATCAGAACAGAACAAAATTTTAATTCTAAAAAATCACACAGTGACACATGCAGAGAACATACATCATTGCAGTATACACACACATATAATATGTACAAGACAGCAAGCATATACATCCCAGCTCCTCCACGTGTCAAGGCGACCGTGAAGATTCGGGTTAGAATAGGTATTCAGCATCCCATGCTTGCCGTAAAAGGCGACTATGCTTGTCGTAAGAGCTAGTCGACTAATGGGATCGGGTGGTCAGGCTCGCTGATTTGATTGATGCATGTCATCGTATCCCAATTGCGTAGATCGATGCTCCATGATGCCAATCACTGGATTGTCTGGTTCAGACTCGATTGTTTACAGACCGCTGTCATAAAGCTGGAATATTGCTGAGTGCGGCGTTAAACAACAAACAAACAAACAAACAATGTGTATCTTGTCAGTTTGGGTGGAGAAATGAACACTTAGATGAATGTACTTGTGCATCGGTATGAAGGTAGCCGTTCATGTTGCAGTAATGATTATTTATTAGTATCGTACTTTGCATAGATGTTGTTGTTTGTTATTTGTTGTTCAACACCGCACTCAGCAGCATTCGCCTCTTACGACAAGCATATTCGCCTCTTACGGCAAGCATGGTTGCTGAAGGCCTATTGCAGCCCGGATCTTCACGGGTCTCGCATATAGATGACATAAGGGGGCGAGGATGTAACTGAGTGGCTAAGGCGTTGGCTCATCGCGCCTAAGGCCCAGGTTCCATTCCAGGTATAAACCCTTATCTTAAAGTCCATTCCTACAAGGTGTCCTTCACCGTCATATGGGTTCCATGCGATTTTCGAGTTCAAACATTTAAAGGGCGACTATCCCCGGGCAGATTGGCTGCTTTGGTAAGTTTGGTTCAGGTCGTTCAAACACCCCTCTCTTTGTCTGTTGACTCCAATTTCATGATTTATATCAATCTAAGAGTTCACGAGTACTCTGATTGACCCAGGTGTCCATTAGGCATTATTTACAACGTGTAGACCTGAACTGAAACTGGCGCCAGACACAGAAGCGCATTACGTCGCCCTTTAAGTCTTAGTTTTCTAAGAAACTTACGTTTCAATTTTTGTCACCATTTTTATTGTGATCATGTGTGCCTAAACTGCTATATTTACTTTCCAACCAGCTACCCATAAACGAAAGGGAATATCTGTAGATATATCTGAAGAATCGATGATAGGAGAAACATCGGCAGACGGCGAAGGGAGATAACTCGATCTTTCAGCCATACATGTACCCACCAGTAAGTGAAAAAGTGATCGTAAAATACCAAGCGTTACTACACCGGCTTCCAAGCTATATAACAGCTATCCATGGGTATGGAGTTCGGACTTTCCATGGGAGATTCCTCTAGTAAATTGGGCTAGAAGACAGCAACACAACGGTTCAGGGCAAATGGCCCCTTAATATCTTAACTTGATCATAAATATTCTCGCTATAACAACTTCAAATTATATTAACACCTGACTCGCGTCACCTGCCTTTACTTCTGTGTTGCTGTCACCCAGTCGTTGTTAGATCCAAGGAAGGAAAACAGACTCATGTGTATACCATTAATCCATTTTTATTTAGATATATTTAAGAAATGGAATATTATGTGTCCCAAAAAGTATTTAAAGCAGGGCCAAAAGTGAGCTCAAAAACGGTTCTCCTATATCAGAGAACGGAATCAACTTAGAAATGTCAGTCAAAGGGTGAGCCAAAACAAATGAAAAGAAGATCGAAAGAGTGTGTCCAAACATAAACCCAAAGGGTGTAGCCAAAACAGTCCAAAAGGGAGAAATGCTTTATTACAGGGGCACCAAACCACACCCTCTCACACAAACACACATGCAAAACACATCCTCTTATGCATATACTCAAAACACACGCCAGAAACATCCCGTCGCACATGAACTCTTAAAATCAAACACACATGCAAAACACATGCCGTCACACATACACACTTACACACAATACTAGATGCAAACACTCCAACTCCCATATACACACATGATTACACTCACCAAAACACACATGTGAAACGAACACTCATACATACACACTTAAACCCAACCACACATTCAAAACACACACTCACACACATCACAAACTTACACTTTCTGTCACACATGCAAAAACACATCCTCTCACACACACACACTGACACTCAACCACATATGCAAAAACACATCCTCTCACACAAACACTCTCTATCACACATGCAAAAAAACATCCTAACACACATACACCTACACTATCTGTCACACATGCAAAAAAACATCCCAACACACATACACACCTACACTATCTGTCACACATGCAATGCAACATCCTTTCACATTTGCACTCGTACTCACACACACACACACACACACACACACACACACGCACGCACGCACGCACGCACGCACGCACGCACGCACGCGCACACACACACACACGCACGCACACACACACACAGACACACTGGATGAGAAATCTACGAGAAGATTCTCCTCCAGAAGGCAGCCACTCTCCTCAGCGCCTTCCTCAGAGGATGAACCTCTCTGTCCTCCACGAAGCTGTCGTCATCCTCGTCCTCGTAGACCCAGTAGTCACTGTCGTCATCACTAGGGGCAGGATAATGGTCGACGTAGGTGATGGTGACTGGGGCGGGGAGCGTCTCACCGTGGTCAGGGCGGGCCCAGAAAGGGGTGAAAACACTCAGAGGGTTGGGAGAGGGGGTCGGGGACGCAGCCTGGGGATGCTACATCAGTGAGTGAGGAGGGAGGGAGAAAGGAGGGTCAGTGGGCGAGGTATATAGGCGGTTTTCAAATAACAATGTGCAAAAGAAAGTCAGTGTGACACACAGGTTACACATGCAATAAGGCGCTACAACAAGACAGAAATTCTGATCGACTGTTTGAATCATGCAATTAGAGGAGGGGGATCATGCAGTTATTTTTCAGGACACAATAACACACAGAGAAAATGGGCAATGTCAATAGTGTGCGTGGGGGACATCGACAAAAGCACTTAAGTGATCTATTCGGCGGCCAAATCCGAAACAGATGTAGATAAACTACATACACAGTCGGATTCCTCATCCAGCGACGGCCATAAACTCGCAGCAGGAGTGACATGATACCGGATCATGTCTTCCCGTGCTGAAAAGAAAAATAAACAAATTTAATAATACATTAAAATACATGTTCAATGAATATATCGAGTTAAGGAGTTCGAGTTAACGAGGTTACACTGTACAACTTTGATAAAAGACATCGACCAGCCTCTAGTCAACAAATATAGATCTAGATATTTTGCAACACATCTCTACAAAAACTTGTACAGCTCTTATTTACTCTTCAGAACCTGAATGGATTGACGGACAGACAGACAGACAGACAGACAGGTGGATTAGGAGTTGAGATCACTATCGAGACTATGAGCATTTCATCATTGTGTTCATGTGTTTTAGTCATGTCATTTCAAGCCCGTTCGTTTGAAAGTGTAGTTTACGTTTAAATAGATATCAAAGTTATACAATGTCACACATTTGATCGATAATGTTTGAACAACATCGTCCGTCATATTTATATCCGGCCCGCTCTCATTTCAGAGCAGACAAGAGATTTAGAAGACACCCATTTCTGTATCAAAACAATTGCAAATGGCGGCCAGTGTCATCACTATCGGTACTGCTGTCAAACTACGGCCAATTTCAGAACTTATCGACGTTCTAAACACTTTAAAATACAATAATTGCATTCTTAAAAACCTTGAATATGCAGCCTTGTAAACATCTTGTCAGTAGAAGATCTTGAAACGATGCTGTAGTCAACGAAATGCAGAGCGATATGGAGCAAGAGCGATAGTGAATCTGTTCAAAACAGAGGGGACGTTGGCCACGACAACGGTAACCACGTTACGGAGACGAAGTCAGAACGAGGCGTCATCGTCCATTTCCGGCAAAGCTGAATCTGTACGGCTGCATGTCGTGGGGGCCAAAGACTTGAACATGTTAAAAAGGGGAAGCAGATAAAGTTGTGGTGGCCGTTGCCGTGGTTACCGTCGTTGATAAAAAGAAGGGCAGGTTCAGTTTGTTTTGTCCCTGAGCATTCTCTAGAATAATTTTGAAAATGTTTGGTGGTAAACACCGTTCGTCTTACTGGGGACTGTTTGCTGGTGTGTGTAAGGCACGATGTGTGTTGTTGGCGGGTCGTCCGCACTTTATTGCCGCGGAACGACAGGCTGCGCAAGTCGCCTTGGAAACCCCAAGCTAGCATCGCCACTGATACACTCAAAGAAATAGTCTGACATGGGTGGTCTCCCTT